GTGATAGTGATAGTCTCTAGAATCTTGTGCCTTTACTGACATATTGATCGACTGATACTAACAATAGAAAAGGCCCACGGGTGCACTGCCTAGATTTGATTTGATGGCATCCCCACAAGACTGGTAAATATCAGTGCTAAGTGGACTACTGAATTTACGTAAGAATGAAGCTTTAAATGTTTAATCTTCATCCTTGAGAAAGAATGGCTTCATGGAGCAGGATGAAGAAGGGGAAGTTGCTGTTAAGTTGAATTGCTGCATCTGAAGATCAGAGGTAAATGATTCTTGATGAGTGGGGTTAGCAAAAGGAAGATGTGGCTGCAGGAGGAGGTTATTGGTGGTGTCCAAATCGTCCCACACAGGGCTACCAGGGCCCCAACCGGCTGGCATCACATTGAGCCAAGCCTCTGCCATTTCTCTCCAAACCATCTCCTGTGACTTTGAGACACCCTCCCCTGCATCCTCTGCTTCGTCTTCATGTATATTATCCTCTGCCACGGTCTCGTTATTCGGTTCTAACTCGAAGTCATTGTCGAGATTGTTGTTATTGTTTAGTTCCTTTTGAGGAGGCAGCTCTCCACCAGAAGTCTGTGAGGCTTCTTCTTTATCTTTATTCAGAAATAGTTCAGGAAAATTAAGCCTTGCATTCTCTCCTCTCAATTTGAAAGCCTCACGATCGTAAGCCAAGGCAGCGTCTTCTGCAGTGTCGAACGTGCCAAGCCATAGTCGATTCCTGTTTCGAGGAAGACGAATCTCCGCTACCCATTTCCCCCAATGTCTCTGCCTCACTCCTCTGTACAGCTTCGTGGTGTTTAAAGGCCGCACTTGAGGCCTAAACCCTCCCTTTGAGTTTGAATCAAGAGACTCATTCCAATACTGAAGAAATTGCTGATGTTGTTGTTGCTGCTGCTGCTGAAACGACGCGAACTCTCCCATGAAGTATGGTGGGTAGCCGAATCCATATTGGGTCGAAGCAGGTGGCGCCAATTGGTGCTGATTATGCGTTGGAAGAAGAGATGGGCGATGAGGCATAGGCGCCACAGACTCTGTTTTGAATTGATGAGAAAATTGGGGAGTTTCCAGAGCAAAAGGCAATAAAGCTCTAGCAGAAGAAGGGGAAGCATGAGAAACAGAGGAGGCTGGATTCAAGAAAGGAAACGACTGCTGCGAAGTAGAATCCAATGGGTGAATTGGGTCATGGTTTTCAGGGTCACGGATCTTCTTAAAAGGCCGAGGCGAAACAGAGGTCTCATCCTGCACCGGCTTGCCTTGTCGGCGGCGAAAACTCGATTCGAGATCATTGTGATCAATCTGTTTATCCTCATCCATATGTTGTTCAGTTTGGGTGAGAGAAAAGTTGGAGCAGTCACTGGATTTGAAATGGGACATTATAAATGGAACAAAACAGAGGAGGGGAAGATGTCATGAAGAAGAAGCAGAAGAAGAAGAAGAAGAAGAAGAAGAAGAAGAAGAGGGCACGTGGGAATTGAGAGAGGTGAAGAAGAATCAGAAGAGGGAATGCGTTTATAAATAGGAAGAAAAAGGAAGAGGATTGGACATGCTTGGACCCACGAATCCAACTCGCATCTTTCTCTCTCACTCTCTGCTCTCTGTTAACTTAAGCCTTAAACCAATGGCAGCACACAACAAAAAGTACGAGCCTGCGAGTCAATAATAAACACTTGGACTGTTTCTCTTTTATGTTTTCAAAACACCTAGTTAGTTTTCCTCTCTTTACTCGTCTATTTTGATTCGTTATGTATTACTGTCAGTCTTACAGTTTTAAAACACGTCTATTAGGAGGTTTTCACACTCTTATAAGTAATAGTTTTCCCTTCTTGGTTTAGCAAAATTTATTTAAATAAATATATTTTTTTAATTCTCATAATTAAATAATTAAATGGTGTTAGTTAATTTATTTTTATTAGGTTAAATTATTAAAATACTTTAAATGACTTGATTTAATTTTCATTCCTTAATAAATAGATTTTCAATTATTCTCAAATCATAAGAATTAAAAAAGAGAAAAAAAACAATAATAAATATAAATAATCGAAAACCAATAATTTGGATGGAATTATTTGTATTTCAATATCTCTAACTCATTTATCATTCAATTTAATCTTTTTCCTTTCTGATTACCCATAAATAAATAAATAACAAAATTACATATATATATATATATATATATATATATATATATGATTATTACGTATTGTTTAAACAAAATATGAAGCCGCTGGGGCTTTGCTTTCGGTGGAAGCGTTCAATCCTTCCCTTTAGAAGAAAGAACCAAAAAAAGAAAAGAAAAAAAAAAAATGGTCGGCGATGTAACTGACACGTGTCGGTGCTGGAAATCATTTTAGGTTCCCTTTTCCCATGCTCTTCAATCTTTGACTCAGTCAAACACTATACTTTGAAAGAGTTGGCCTTTTTTCCAAAATAAAATAAAAAAATAAAAAATAAAAAATCTAAAATTCTAACCTAGAGCCAATTCTTGACTTATTTATTATTATGTATTATCAAAAATAATCTCGAAGTCCTGGACTTGGGGATGGATTTTTCCTACCTATTCTCGTTAATACAGTTTCTCGTAGTTCTTGTTACCGAGATATTTTTGAAGGTTTTTTAGCAGTCCAGTACAATGAAATGTAACGATTACAAAAATAAGTTTAATGAGGTGTGTTAGGTTGGTTTCATTAAATTTTTATGGAGATCGTGATTAATGGATGGTCGTAGAGTCAAGGAGTTGGTGCGTTTTGTGTGGGCACGTAGCCAACCACTCCTTGTTTTTGTTGGGAGCCTTTTTCAACCCAAATGACAAGGAACGATGCATGAGTTTTGACAAAGTTAAGAATGAAATAATTAGGCCTTGTCGTTCCTATAATTTCATGCCATTTCTATAGCCCTGCACTTCCCCATTAGACAGAAAGTGTGTGAACAGTAATGGTTGGTGTTTGTGGTTAGGAGTGCTCTAGATTTGGAAAATGGAAAACTTCATTGTCATTTCATTTTCTTCTTCAATACTTCAAAATGAAATGTATTAAGAAAGGGACAATAAGAATGCTTGAGATCGAACCCAAGAAGTTATTCGATAGAACACGTAACAAGCCAAAGCTTGTTAGTGGTGGGCTTAAGCTGTTACAATTGTTATAATTGGTATCAGAGCTAGACATTGAGCAGTGTGCGAGCGAGGACTTTGGCCCCCAAGAGGGGTGGATTGTGAGATCCCACGTCAGCTGGAGAGGTGTATAAAACATTCTTATAAGAGTGTGGAAACTTCTCCCTAGTAAATGCGTTTTAAAACTTTGAGGTTGACAATGATACGTAATGAGCCAAAACGAACAATATCTGCTCTGCTAACGGTGGGTTTAGTCTGTTACAACTTTTGACTATGTTCATTTTGATCTCATTACTTTTAGAAAATAGGCTAATCACAGACATAAGGAAGTATTAGTCTAGACCTAGAAAGAAGAGAGTGATGAGCATGAAAATGAGAGTTTGTCTCGAGCACGATATGCCTTCTCCGGTCGACAATCCTATTAGTTGGTGTCTCCTTAGGGTGAAGCAAGACATTAAGATGCGAGCTGTCAGCAACAACTAGCTAGGGCATCTCGTATGAAGGCTGAAGGCATAAAAGCTAACCCTAACGTAAGAAAAGGTAGTTTAAAAGGATGAGATAAGACAAGGCGGCTAGACTATAATATCCATATCGGTTGGAGAGGGAAACAAAACATTCTTTATAAGGGTGTGGAAACCTCTCTCTAGAAAACATGTTTTAAAAATCTTGAAGGATAAGGAGAACAATATCTGCTAGCGGTGGGCTTGACCATTACATAGATCGAAGGTAAATCAATTTGGTCAGTTCAAAGAAAGCATATAGACCGAGATGAACTAAAGCAAAAAAGTATAAATTTTTTATTAGTTAAAAGAAATCTTTAGTCTTGAAGCAAAAGCAAAATATAGATGCTTTTAAATCATAAAGCCACAAAGCTAAGATTATGCATACTGTGTGATGATTAGAATCAAAACATAAGCAGAGAGGAACACATTAGCCTTTATCCATTAGCTTGTTATTGTCTCTTACCATAACATCAACAGCCACAAACCAAGCAAAGGATGTTCCTAAGCTGTTCATCCCACACATGGAATGAGTGAGACTAGAAGCTATGGAATTCATGCATATTATTGGATATAAGGATTGGTTTGAGACAAAAATAAAGGGTTGCAGGAAGTGAAAGAGCGTTTGCTACTAAACAGAGCACCTTAGGACATTGAGTTCAATAGTCGAAAGTATCACTAGCTTGCACTTTTGGCCTAAGTAGCATAAGATGAGGCACGTGAATAAGCAAAGACAACCTAGGAGTATTTGCCTTGTGAGCTGGTCTTTGCTTTTTTTTTTTTTTTTTTTACTTGAGATCT